TGTGTGTGTGTGTGTATAGGCTGGAAGTGGAGAGGTGTGTCCTCAGACATTTAAAAAAGTATTCTGGAAAAGAAGACAGAGGAAAAACCTTCTGTGTTCTTAAATCCTTCTCCCTTGAGCTTTCATTTTCACAAATGGATGCCCAGGTTCACTGTCTGGACAAACGAGTTTGAGTTTAAGTGCCTCCTTTAGAGCCCCCAGAAAGGAATGGAGAGAGTCAGCACACAGTAGCCCTCAGTCAATCAGGGCACGTTCCCTTCTGTTTTCTTATGTCTTGTTAGGGGTTTGTTAGTACCAGACACACCACCTTGGGGTCAGTGGTGTGTATGGGGGAAGAGGAAGCAAGTGGCTGGGCCTCTGATGGGAAGATTGAATTCAAAATTACCAGGTGTAAAAAAAAAAAATTAAAAATTACCAGGTGTCTACAGTGTGCCAGGTCCTGCCCTAATCTTCTCAAAACATCTCTGCAATCTTGGGAGTGTGGCTTTTCTTGAACCTATTTTACCGATGAGGAAACTGAGGTCCTGAGTGGGCCACACTGCAAATAAGAGCCAGGAGTAGGATTGAATCCAGGTCTGTTGGGAACCAGGAGCACTTCCTGCTTCTCCACAGGGTACGGAACCTGATCCGCATGTAATTGGCTATTCTCCAAAGCTCAAATCTGGAGCAGCCCTGGATGTGTCTGTCTATCCCTCCAGTCTAGGAGGATCCCCCTGGGTTCTCGGGGTCTGTGGACCTGAATTGGACAATAGCCTTGATGGGGGAGGGGCTTCTCCCTTGGGGGAGGTCCCAACATAGGGAAACCCTATCCCTGATGCTCTTCAGGCTTTGGCCGTTCTGTCCCTGTGGAAGGAGCTTAGGGACCTCTAGGATATCAGACCAGCAGCTGCCGTGGGCCAGTGCGGAGCCTGGAGTCCTGTGTCTCCCCATGGACCCTGCTACCCTTGATGACTCCTGAGGAAGCCCCTCCCCATGTAGGCCCCTCCGAGTCTGGAAAATGCTCATGGCAGTTACGAGAGCTGGCTTGAGAGAGCCTCTGTATGTCAGCTGTGTGGCCTTGGGCAAGTTATTTAACCTCTCTGTGCCTCAGCTTCTCCCTCTGCACAATGAGAATAAGGATGGGACCAACCTTGCAGGGCTGTTATGAGGAGCTAAGGAGTTAATGCATTGCCTGGCACACAGTGGCACTGAATTAATGACAGTTACTGTTGTTCTTATTAGCAGTGTGATTATTCTTAGTTCTGAGGCCTGAAACACAGAGACTGTGATCCCACCACCTCCCCCTCCCCTCCACACTATAGATGGAGAAATGGCAGCACAGGGAGGCCTGGGGGAGGAGGGTAGGGAGGGGAGTTGACTTCCAGCTCCAGACACTTCTCCCAGCCCCACTCCCACCCCAGTCTATCCTCCACCCTGAGCCCCTCCTGGGACTCTCTAAGGCGCTGGACACCTGTCCAGGGATGGGGCCCTGCACATGCTGGGACTCAGCATACACTCAGTTTCATTGAGACCTGCCTTCGCCCTCACCGCCCCCCCCCACTCCCCCCCCCCCGCCCCCCCCCCCCCCCCCCCCCCCCCCCCCCCCCC